ACTGAGCTACAGGGCCCACCTTTTATACTTCCTGTTCCAATCCCACACCTCTGCTTCCGGCATGGAAAGTGTGGCCTTCCTGGTTCTGCCCACCACAGGGCATCTGGCTGTCCCTCACTCTCAATTTCCAAGGGCAGCCGCCTCTTTGCTACAGACCTCTATATAGTATTAACAGATTTGATGGGTCTCCCCTTTGAGCCATTAGCAAGCTGTTCCCTATACTATTAATTAAGTCTGCTTTTTTAATACACCAGGGGAAGGGTAGGGGAGACTCATGCCCAATCCCCTTATATAGCATTTCATAAGGACAGGGTTAGTCCCAGTCCCATTCCCAGGTCCTGCCTAAAATAATTTCAGTTTCATATGAACCATTCAGCTCCATGTTTTCCTCCGCAGCTCTCACACAGCCTTGGGGGAAGCTAAACTTCTTTCACTTGATGGCCTCCTACTACCTGAACAGGATGAAATAATTCAAGAACATACAGTAACTCCTCGCTTAACGTTGTAGTTATATTCCTGAAAAATGTGACTTTAAGCGAAACGATGTTAAGCAAATCCAATTTCCCCATAAGAATTAATGTAAATAGGAGGGGTTAGGTTCCAGGGAAATTTTTTTCACCAGACAAAACTATATATTATATAGATATACACACAGTATACATTTTAAACAAACAATTTAATATTGTTCACAGCTATGATGATTGTGAAGCTTGGTTGAAGTGGTGAAGTTAGAGGATGGAAGAGGGAGGGATATTTGCCAGGGAATGCCTTGCTGCTAAATGATGAACTAGCACTCGGCTGAGCCCTCAAGGGTTAACACATTGTTAATGTAGCCTCTCATCAAGGCAGCACGAACAGGAGGGAGAGGAGACAGCATAGCAGACAGACAGACAGACACACACCTTGTGTGTGGGAGAGAGAGATGCACATTGCCCCTTTAAGTAAGCTGACCCACTCTTAAGTGCATTGTCTTTTTAAGTGGATCAGGAAGTTGAGACAGCAGCTGCTGCCCCAAGCTCTCTCTCTGTCAGTGTCCCCTCCCTGCTCTATATGGAGAAGAGGTAAGCGGGGTGCAGGAGCAGGGGGGAGGGGGACACTGACATTAGCCCACCCCCACCCCCACCCCCCGCACAGCAAGCAGGAGTCTCTGGGATCAGCTCCAAGGCAGAGGGCAGGAGCAGCACATGGCAGTGGGGGGAGGGACAGATGAACTGCCAATTGATAGCCTGCTGGGCAGCTGCAGCACAGGGAACTTAGGGGAGCAGGGAGCTGTTAGGGGGAGCTGATAGGGGGGCTGCCAGTCCACCCTGGTTACAAGCCCCCACCAGCTAGCTGCAACGGGCTGCTCTTCCTGCAAGCAGTGGACAAAGCAGGCGGCTGCCAAACAACATTAGAAAGGAGCATTGCACAACTTTAAATGAGCATATTCCCTAATTGATCAGCAACAAAACAACATTAACCGGGATGACTAAGTGAGGAGTTACTGTACATAGATCATTCATGGCCTTTGCTGAAAAGGGCTAAGGGTCAGGCCATATCCTCCCTCATAAAGATCATCAAAATGGGTACCCCAAATCTATAAAAACATATTGCAAGTTAGCCAGGTTACATCCACCAAGGTGCATCAGGGCTCATTTAATTCTGCTGCCTGTTTGAAGAATGTCCTTTTTTCTGACATTTGTAGGGCAGATACCTGGAGTTCTAACCACACCTTTACAAGATGCTACTCTTGGATAGAGGCTTCCACTTTGGTAGGGCTGTCCTGTAGTCGCTAAGTAGGACTCCTACTACCCACCCCCAAGCAAACTGTTTGTTAGTCACCAAGAATGGAATCCCTGGGTACAATCACTCCAAAAAAAAGTTTACTCTCAGTAAATGTGGTTCTCAGACATGTGTTGTCCACAGGAATTCCATGACCTGCCCTCCTACTGTCCTACTGTGGAGTTTTATATACTTGAAGGAACTGAGGGATAGTTGGGCCCCTCCACTCTTTATGCCCTCAAGTGGGGAAGTGGCACAAGGACATCAGGGCACAGGAATGGCCCCAAACCTGTTGGCCAAAAAACCAATCACAGGGCACATGCGCACCAAGAGTCAAATCCATGTGAACAATATCTCACAGAATCAGTTACTGTAAGATAATCACTCTCTTTCTCGTAACCATAAAGATCCTACAGACCAGATCTGTGTTCTGCCACTATACGTCACTTGTTACAGCAGTCAATTGAATGGCTCTCTCACAGGACAAGGCAATCTGGAGTAGCTCAGTCTGATTATTCAAAGAAGAGGTACCCATAGGATTGGGAAAGAAATCATTTAAGATCAAGCTCTCAGCTACAGTATATATTAAGACAATTACATGGCCTATTGAGATTCCCTAAGTGGGATACTCAGCAGCAGTATTTACTTGTTTGTGGTTTTCACTCCTTCCCATTCCATCTGGCCATCTTGCACATATGGCAAACAAACAGTTCAACATTTTACCAGAACAGCTGTCCAAAAAGCTTAGAATCATAGGACTGGAAGGGACCTCAAGAGGTCATCTAGTCTAGTCCCTTGCACTCACGGGCAGAAGCAGATTAAGATTTTTTGAGGCCCTGGGCATAAAGAACATTGGGCTCCCCACACCTTGGAGGCCCAGGGGAGCCAGAACCAGGGGGACCATGCCCCTTCCACCCACTTTTTAACATGGGCATAGTTGCCTTAGGCAGGTGCGGAGCAATAGCAGCACGGGTGTTGTTTGGAGGGCACTACCCAACCAAACTGCAAGCCTTGGGCCAGAGGCGACAGGAGGAGCAGTGCTGCACATGGTTGCTGCCTTGGGCAGAAAGCCCAGGTGGCAGCAGGGGCAGCCTGTCACTGGGAGTAGGAGGGACCCAGCAGGGACAGCCTGGCTGCAGCGGGACACAGCAGGGACAGCCTGGCAGCAGGAGCTGAGCACAGGCATAGAGTGAGCCTGGGAGCAATGTTGCAGCCAGTAGCAATGGGAGCTGTACCTGTTACCAGAAGAAACTAAAGGAAAGAATATTTAAGGACCCCCGCCTCCAAAAATAAGCTTGATTCTCCTGAATTAGGGTCTATCACTTATTAGTCGCAGCAGGCAAACACTTGAATGCTCTTAAAGGGTAAATCAAAAGGATGTATTAAACAGGCAGAATAATATAAAATATTTATAAAATAGCTTGGTGGTTTTTACCAAATACAAATAGGATGAAGTCCAGACCCAACTAGAACAAATGGGCTAGCAATATAAAATGTCTCAGTGTTACTCAGTCTGCATGGCTGTAGGCTGGATTGAGTCAGCTCACGTCTCTCTCTTTTGATGTCCAGAACAGGTGTGCCTTCACCAATGGAAACAGGTAGGTGGTAGATGTCTTCTTGAAGGACTGCGCAACCCAAAAATAGGCTGCCTCCTGGGTGGACAGCAACCTGTCACACTGCATCAGTCCCTTATGCCATCCCATTACCAGGCAGATTAGCTTGTGGTCATGTGACCCTTTCCCGTTCTTCCCCTTTGAAACTTCCTGCCTTTGTTCTGTTACTGGGCAGGATTACTTTAGGGAGACCATGTCCCAATTTTATAGGGAAAGTCCTGGTTTTTGGGTCTTTTTCTTATATAGGCTCCTATTACCCCACCCCCCACCCCCTGTCCCGATTTTTCACATTTGCTGTCTCGTCACCCTAGATTACTTAGGAATTAACTAATCAAAATTGGATACCACAAAAAAGGCACCAAACTGAACAAGAAGATGGTGCACGAAAATGTAGGGTAAAAGACAACAAGAAAAATAAAATGGCTAAAATCCCCAACATGCCAATGGACTCTCCCTGCCTGGGTCATTGCTGCCTGTGACCTTCCCGAGGCGCCACCTCCCAGGCTGGGGCACGGCCTCCTCTCCCCTCAGACCATGTTGAGTCCAGATGCAGTGCTCTTTCAGGTCAGTAACTGTCAACCACAGGAGTATAATTGAAGCTTTTTGAAGAAAGTGGATGTTGGAAGCTGTTCTGAAGACTTTTTCTGGTTCTCCCTTCTTGAACTCCTCATTCTGATTTCTTGTTGCTTGTCTCTAACTTTGTAGTGTGCTGTACTGAGACAGCAACACTTATTATATTATGGAAGCTAATGTTTGTGAAGTGCTGTGATCTTCTGATGGAACGTGTTAATATACAGCAGAGAGTAAAGGGGAAAAAAAAAAAACTTGTTCCCATTTTACATAACAACCTGGGAGATCTGAGGACTAAAAAATTTTAGGAAAACGCACTCTAACTAGTAGTCAGGGCCCTGGTTATAAAGAAGACCTATGCTGTTACACTGTTGGATATGCTATTAATACCATGCCACATTTCAACATGTCAGCCTTCAGTAAGGGCTGTTAGTCCTCATTCCCCCTCTTCAGCCATGCTGGCAATCAGCATACTCCAACGGAAACACAGTACGTTCTCTGAGGCACTCCATCCTCAATATGATGCTTTTATCTATCGCCTACACAAGGTTTGGCCTCTTTACATGTCCTAAAACAAAAAGGAACTTTTTTAGCTGTAAGTACCACCATGTCAAGATTTCCTTACGAAGCATTGTGCATCAGGGAATTCAACTCAGACCACCAAGGATGAAAAGCAATGGAGACCTCTTCCCCCCTGCCCCCATCTATCAGCATCTTCAACTTTTTGCTGAAGGACTGGTGTGGGAGAGGACGCATCCTCCATTTTAACATTTGAAGCAACTGACAGGGACCAAATGTGAACATTTTTCAATAGACAGCATTTCACATATTTACACAACACTGTCCCTTAGAAATTAACATCATTAGCCTTTGCATAGCCACAATACTGTGCTGTAGTGGAAATATCAGGAGGGGAACTGAACACTTCCTCACTCATGACAGCTGTTCTGGGCTTTGGAGTAGTGAATAGGCACAATTAAAGAGTGGGATCTGTGATGAGAATTCTTGGACAAAATAGAATGTTCGAGGACTTAAAATAAACCCACTGACAAGATCTGAGGTATTAAAGAAAGTTTTATTTGTACATTTTAGCAACAGGAGAAATAATTGAAGATGCAGTTATCTGCTTTGTTCAAAGAATAAAAACATTTAATTATAAATATTTAGCTAAAAAGCGTGATTTATAAAATATAATCTGTGGCGATATATACACAGTTTAATTGTTTAGCAATTCTCCCACCTGACATTAAAGATTAGAGGTTTTTCTATTTATTATTCCACACTCACAGCTTAGTGCTCACAGTTTAAGAAGCAAAACAGACAGGTGAAGATAAAGATGATCAATCAAATAGACCACTGTGTGAGTCTTATCTTGGAAGGAAATTGGACAACAATAGAGAGGCAGAACATTAATGCATCCAGAGAGGCTTTGCAAGGAGGGACTGTTCCCCTTTTTGGTGGCCTTCAGCATATAGAGACATGCACCTGGAAGTTTTTAAAACTTGTGGGCAAGTCTCTTGTGCTCATAAGAAATGGATACCATTGGCTAAGGTAAGGTATCATGCAAGCTTACTAAATTCAACTCTGCCAAATGCACCTCAGTCTTGATTTGTAACCCATCTGTTATTCCCTTTCTGAGCAGAAACTGCTCATTGTACCATATTGGTTTCATAGAGTAATGACTAAGGACTTCATGAAAGTCACTTTTGCACTTACAACCTCAGCATGTGAACAGATTTCCAGAGGTGAAAGGCTAGTGCACCATCCAATTGTACTGCCCAGCTCCCAATATTTCTTAGACATTAGATACACCTACTTGCTTCTCCTAAATCCAAGGGCCTAAAAAAGTCTAGTGAGGCTATGGAATAGATTGATAAAATGGAATGTGACAGGCCAAAAACCCCATCAGTTTTCTATTCCTTGTCTAAAGTGGTGTTAATTTTTCTCCTGCCAAAGTCGTGGGTAAGGCCTTCTTTGAGGAAGTCCGGCTTCTTTTACTGAAAGGGTTATCAATATGGTATTTCAGAGGGTTATGAAAAACAGAAACCAAGGAAAAAATATAGCCAAGAAACACTGTCATTCCTTCTGGGTTAAGGAAAGCTGATTTGCTACCTGGTTCTTCAGCATTAGGATGAACTTTAATTTCCCTAAGCACTACCCGACAGTTCAGAGTGATGAGTATGTACACAGTTCTTATTGTTCATACCATATGAACACATGGTAGTTGTGAGAGCTGTACCCTTTGGAGTTGAGTTAGAAACTTCAGTCTGAAAGGATGGTGAAATTCTAGCAGAAGATACTCTCCAGGCACAGTTGTGATTCGTGGAAATGTACCAAGTTAAGAGAAGTCTCTGGTGGTAGAATGGATGGTTACTGGCTAAATGCAGACTTTAGCTCCCTGAATGCTGCCCGACGGTGTTTCTTCTCTTCCTCTTCGCGCTTTCGCTCATCCTGCTCTGCCTTGATCTCTGCTTCAAACTTACTGGCTGAAGAAAGGGCTTGAACCTGTAAAGGAAAAGAGCAGACATGAGCTATGGGAAGCCTTAAGAATTTGAACTACCTTGCAGCACATCTGTCTGCCACATCTTCCTCCAGTTACCATATTCAGTGGTGCCAAAATTGATTAAGGGTTAACAATACTACAGTAGCTGGATATTTACACTGAAGACCTGTTGGTTCAGTTTTATTCTCAAATCAAGAGGATAGTTTCATTTACCAATAGTCACTTTCCACTGGAACTGAGCCAAACGGAGGGAAAATTGTGTGGATATATTTATTCCAACTCATAGGAAATAATATTGCAACTTCTTTATGACCTTTTGGGTGAAATACAAAATGAAGCTAAATGCATGAATTGACTTTCAAGATTTATAGCACAACTGTGTTGACCAGTTCTGTCTCTCCCTTCCCTAATCACAGTAACTATGTAACTAGCCATCACAGCATGAGTCGTGAAAATACAATGAACTTTCCCCAATGATAAAAATTCTTGCAGAAAATTTGATAATTCCGAATTGGGACCAAATAGGAGGAACTCAGTCTGTGGCCCATTTTTACAGATTCATAGAATCTAGGACTGGAAGGGACCTCGAGAAGTCATTGAGTCCAGTCCCCTGCCCTCATGGCAGGACCAAATACTGTCTAGACCATCCCTGATAGACATTTATCTAACCTACTCTTAAATATCTCCAGGAGATGGAGATTCCACAACCTCCCTAGGCAATTTATTCCAGTGTTTAACCACCCTGACAATTAGGAACTTTTTCCTAATGTCCAACCTAGACCTCCCTTGCTGCAGTTTAAGCCCATTGTTCCTGTTCTATCCTTAGAAGCTAAGGTGAACAAGTTTTCTCCCTCCTTCTTATGACACCCTTTTAGATACCTGAAAACTGCTATCATGTCCCCTCTCAGTCTTCTCTTTTCCAAACTAAACAAACCCAGTTCTTTCAGCCTTCCTTCATAGGTCATGTTCTCAAGACCTTTAATCATTCTTGTTGCTCTTCTCTGGACCCTCTCCAATTTCTTCACATCTTTCTTGAAATGCGGTGCCCAGAACTGGACACAATACTCCAGTTGAGGCCTAACCAGCGCAGAGTAGAGCAGAAGAATGACTACTTGTGTCTTGCTCACAACACACCTGTTAATGCATCCCAGAATCATGTTTGCTTTTTTTGTAACAGCATCACACTGTTGACTCATATTTAGCTTGTGGACCACTATAACCCCTAGATCCCTTTCTGCCGTACTCCTTCCTAGACAGTCTCTTCCCATTCTGTGTGTGTGAAACTGATTGTTCCTTCCTAAGTGGAGCACTTTGCATTTGTCTTTGTTAAACTTCATCCTGTTTACCTCAGACCATTTCTCCAATTTGTCCAGATCATTTTGAATTATGACCCTATCCTCCAAAGCAGTTGTAATCCCTCCCAGTTTGGTGGTATCTGCAAACTTAATAAGCGTACTTTCTATGCCAATATCTAAGTCGTTGATGAAGATGTTGAACACAGCCGGTCCCAAAACAGACCCCTGCGGAACCCCACTTGTTATACCTTTCCAGCAGGATTGGGAACCATTAATAACTACTCTCTGAGTACGGTTATCCAGCCAGCTATGCACCCACCTTATAGTAGCCCCATCTGAGTTGTATTTGCCTAGTTTATTGATAAGAATATCATGCGAGACCATATCAAATGCCTTACTAAAGTCTAGGTATACCACATCCACCGCTTCTCCCTTATCCACAAGACTCGTTAGCTTTCTTTGATAGGATATCAGATTGGTTTGACATGATTTGTTCTTTACAAATCCATGCTGGCTATTCCTTATCACCTTACCTCCTTCCAAGTGTTTGCAGATGATTTCCTTGATTACTTGCTCCATTATCTTCCCTGGCACAGAAGTTAAACTAACTGGTCTGTAGTTTCCTGGGTTGTTTTTATTTTCCTTTTTATAGATGGGCCATTTGCAGACCAAAGAAAAAGATGTAGTTTGAGAGTTGTTTTTTCAGCTCTACTTTCCAGCCTTTGTTTTAACAGCTCTGCTATGCTACTCTCAATGAGTATAACATCTATTTTTGTCCATAAAACACTGTCGGAAAGGAATTCTACCAGCTTAAAAAGCCCAGTCCAACCAAACATGAAGATATAGCTTTGTAGTGTTATTCAAATCTAATGCTTTGTTATGTTATTCTAACCTAGAAAATTGAACAGACAAGGAGAGCAAGCTCAAATATTGTATTCAGAACTAAGCTTCGTGCGCTGGTGCAGGAAAAGAGGAAATTCCTTGCAGTGAATGTTAAAAGTTGGTCCAGGAGTCCTGGTCTGTGTGGTATTCAGTGATCACACAATGCTTAAAGTGCTTGTAAAAGCTCTGCTTTGTTCTGTGATCACTTCCAAATGACTGTGTTTAAGAACAAAAGCGTCACAGCACCTTGGCCCAGATTCTGTGAGTATGTCTACACTGCCATCGGGAGGTGTGACTGCAGCATGTCTAGACATACCCAAAGCTAGCTCAAGTAACAATAGGAATGAAGCCACAGCAGCACAGACGGCTGCATGGGCTAGACTTGCCTGACCAAGATCCCAGGTAAATAGTCAAGCAGCCACCGCCCATGCTGCCACAGCTTCACTGCTGCTATTACTGGAGCATGCTGCAGTAACACCTCTTGACTGTAATACGGACCCACCCTTTCTCTGGGAAGCTTATCCCCTAACAGAGGCGCTGACTCTGTGGGTGCTCCAGGGCTGGAGCACCCACAGGGAAAAATTAGTGGGTGCTCTGCACCCACTGGCAGCCAAGCTCCCTTCAACCCCCGCCCCTCCGCTTCCTCCCCTGAGCACGCTGCGTCCCTGCTCCTCCGCCTACCTCCCAGTGCTTCCCACCCGGCCGCCGCCAAACAGCTGTTTGGCAGCATTAGCAGCATGCTCCGGGAGGGAGTGGGAGGAGCGGAAATGCAGCACGCTCAGGGGAGGAGGCGGGGATTTGGGGAAGGAGTTGGAGTAGGGGCAGGGAGGGGGTGGAGTTGGGGCAGGGACTTTGGGGAAGGGGCCTCATGGAAGGGGTTGAGTGGAGGTGGGGCTGCAGGCTGGGGAAGGGGGTCAAGCACCCATGGCAAAGAGGGGAAGTCAGCGCCTATGACCCCTAATATCTCAGTTTCCAAGATATTTTGTGAACTATTTTGGATGATGACTTATTTAAATGGCTATTTCAGCCACCAAGATGATGGGCAGGAGCATAAACAGGATGGATTAAGTAAGAAGTCTACAGGGTGCTTGAAGGGGAAGGAACCACCATTGGTGCAGCAGAGCCTGGCAAAATAAGCCATTTTGTGGTTCATTTATTGGCAGTGAGTAATGCTCAGTGGGGCACAGCATACAAGTCTGAACAGGAAGTGGCATAACCCAGCATGATAGTGAGGATGTGTACTCTGTGTTGAGGAGGAAAATTCACAGCTTCTTAAATTGGTGGAATAAGAGGATTTAATCACCTGGTGACACTGGCATACTGTCCAGCAGTCAAGCATAATGTCCATTCCAGGGGACACATTAAGAAGAGAGAACTCAGACCTGCATAGCAAGCTTTTTCAGCTTCCGCACCTCCACCGTACCACCATACCTTAGCTTCAAAGAAGTTCTTGGCTCCTTTAACTCCCTCAGTGGAAACATCTATTTCAGAGAGTTTTGCCAGAGTCATCAGCCCACTGTCTTCCTCAAGCTCTCCGGCTGCAGCTTTATGGAAAATCAGCAGGAACTAGCAAAGAAACAAAAAATAGACCCACCAAAATTCATCACTGAGGCTCAAGCTTTCAAAGAGGTTAATTACTATTCCAAGCACTTAAACTATATGCTAAATCAGAGCAGCAACTAATGTATGAACCCCAGGATAAGAATTTGCAATTACCAACACAGGAAAACATTTTATAAACAGAAAGAAAAATGTATTTACAATAAGCTGCATCCAGCACTTTGGATCCAGTACTGTGCGCTCTCAGACTGGAGAGAGAGAAGCCTTTAGGGAAAGGAGAAGGGGCTTTCCACAGACCAGAGCTTTGGCAGCAGTGTGGTTCACACATTGCCTAATCACTGACACCACCAGGGCCCAGAGGAGAGGATGGTCTCTTCTCTCCCCTCCCCCAGCTGAGTGAGTAGTACAGCTGCACATTGGGATTCTCTGGAGGGCGCAGCTGCCTCAGTGCGTGCCATAAAGCTGACATATGTGCTGTCACCCCAAGCCATTTTGGTGGCCCTTATGTCAGAGTTCACCATACTATGCATTATAGGGGCTCAGATCACACTGCATAATACATAACACACTGAATGAAAGAATGAGAACAGAAGGCTGCCCCCACCTACTGTCCACCGTTGTCCAAATAGGCCCAATGGAACCTACGTCACACAGGACTCAACTCCATAGACAGGACTGTGCATTGTACGCTAGTGCTTGGAAGGGATCAGGGAGAGCTTTTGACTCCCATGAAGATTTAGCTGGGTAGGCCAGTCCAACCTCACTGTACTACATACAGTAGTATAAAGACCATCTCAGGTCAAATGTACCTGAACACCGGAGTATGAGTGTGGACACTTCAACCTGTACTTTTTTGTAGCATCAGGGAGAAATTATGGAACCCAGGACACCCACCCTTTACTTGAGGAACTACCAGGTAGTTCAAGCTCTTAATACAATGCCCTTCTGCCATTGTAGAGAGGGCTGAAGCACTGGATCATTTTTTAAGAGAGGTTAGACAAACACCTGTCAGGGATGGTCTAGATAATACTTAGTCCTGCCATGAATGCAGGGGACTGGACTAGGTGACCTCTCAAGGTCCCTTCCAATCCTACGATTCTATGATCATGGATCAAAGCCAAATTCCCAAGAGAAAAAAAACGGTCACTGACCTTCTGTAACTGTTGTTCTTTGGTGACCTTCCAAGAAAGAAGTAGTAGAGGGCATGACACTAGAGGTCCGAATGGAGGGCCTGTGAGCCTTGACAAGACCAGGTTTAAAGTCCCATGTAAGGATCGGCTCATGAACCTGAGGGTAGAGTCTCTCCAACCTTTGAGAAATTGGACCGCCATCTGATGAGAGAATACTGACCTGCTGTTCACTGGTGGGTGGAAGGCAGAGACTGCTGCTAAGTGCACCTTGAAAGATGCAAGAGCCAAACCTTGCTGCTTTAGATAGAGCAAGTAGTCCAAGATAGCCTGCAGGGAAGAATGAACCACAGAGAGATCTCATTGAGATGCCCATCTCAAGAAGCATTTCTATTTGGCCACATAGGTAGCCCTAGTGGACGGTTTCCTACTACCTAGCCAGACCTGTCATGTAACATCCATGTTGTCAGATGAAAGGAGGTGAGGTTCAGGTGGAGCACAGGTTCAGTACAGCTTCAGTGGCTGTAGTCTTGTGAGATCAGGTCCAGACAATAGCATCCTCTTCCACTCCTGCTCTGATAGATCCAGTAGTGTTCCAAACCAGTGTTGGTGTGGCCAAGCCAGAGCTATAACTCTCTGCTTGATTTTCAGGAGGTCTTTGTGAACCAGAGGGACAGGGGGAAAAGCACAGGCCAGGGGCCCTGAACATGGGAGCAGGAAGGCATCAGAGATGGAGCCAGGACTGTGACTGCACAGCAAGCAAAACTGATGGCACTTCCTGTTCTACTTGGTTGTGAACAGATCTACCTGGAGAGATTCCCACTTTTGGAAGATGAACCTGGTGATCTCAGAGTGAAGGGACCACTCACGGTGAGAGGAAAAGGATCGGCTGAGGTGATCCGCCAGTGCATCCTGGGAGATGTGATGCTGTGAGGTGAATGGAGTGCTTCACGCAGAATTCCCACAGACGGATGGCCTCCTGACACAGGGCCGAGGATCAAGCACCTCCCTGTTTGTTGATATAGAACATGGCCACGGGAGGTCAGACTAGATGATCATAATGGTCCCTTCTGACCTTAAAGTCTATGAGTCTATTGTCTGTCAGAACTTGCACCGCCTTACCTGAGATCTGGGGGAGGAACACTTGGCAGGCTAAGCGTACAGTCCTGAATTTCCTGACGTTCATGTGCAGGGAGAGTTCCTCTTGGGACCATAGGCCCGGAGTCCTGACGCAGTTGAGGTGGGCTCCTCAGCCTAGGTCTGACACATCCAAGACTAGGGACACTGATGACTGAGGGGTACCCCCATCATTACTGGCTTCAGGTCCTTCCACCAATCCAGGGAGGTGAGGCCTAAGGGAGGAACAGTGAGCACCAAGTCCAAGTGGTTTCTGTTTGGAAAGTAGCCACGGTCTGTAGGGGCCTGAGGCGTAACCTTGCATGCCGAATCACATAAGTACATGTGGCCATGTACCCCAGAAGCTTCAGGCAAACTCGGGCAGTCTTAATTGGGTATACCCTGACCTTGGATATCAGGTCCAACAGAGTCTGGAATTGGGCCTCCAGAAGGAAGGCTCTGGCCTGGGTTGAACTGAGCACCACCCCAATGAATTCTATTCTCTGAACTGGAACAAGAGTCTACTTTTTATCATTTAATCAACAGGCCCAGCACCTGGAATGTGACTTGGACCATGCTGATGCTGTTCCACATGTGAGTCTCTGACCGACCTTTGATCAGCCAGTTGTTGAGGTACGGGTAGACCTGGACACCTCACCATCTGAGGAAGGCTGCTATATTACTGCCATACGATTCATAAAACCGGAGGGGCTGCAGACAGGTCTAAGGGAAGAGCAGTGAACTGGTAGTGGCATTGATTCACAATAAATCTGAGAAATCTTATGTGGCCAAGAGAGACAAATGTGAAAGTATGCATCCTTTAAGTCGATGGCAGCTTACCAGTCCCCTGGATCCAGGGAGGGAATGATGGAGGCCAGGGAGACTGTGCGGAACCCCAGTTTCTTGAGATACCTGTTGAGACGATGCGGGTCCAGAATGTGCCAGAGGCCTCCCTTGGCCTTTGGGATTAGGAAATACGCGAGTAGAGTCCCTTTCCTCTCAAGTCTCGAGGAACTTCCTCCACAGCCCCCATGGATTGGAGGGACCACAACTCCTGGGTGAAGAGTTGCTTATGAAAAGGGTCCCTGAAGAGAGATGGAGATGCAGGGTGGGAGGGAGAGGGTGGATAAAAATTGAAGGGTATTGCCCATTGTCACTGTATTTAGCACACAGTGGTCTGATGTTATGTGGGAGCATGCCAGGCTGAAGTGGGATAAACAGTCCAAAAATAAAGGGGAGGCAGGATCTGAAGCGGGAACTAGTATAGCACCCTGAGGCGCACCTTCAAAAGGCCTGCTTGAACCCACCGGAGAACCTATGAGACCCTGGCTGGGAGGCTGAGGTGAACAGAAGTGGCTGATGCCGTTTGTAACCTCTCCCTTTCCTTTTGTAGGGCTCCTGTCTTGGAGGTGGTGCCGATAAATGAGGTGGCTGTTGGAGCCTGAAGTGCTTCCTGGAAGCAGCCAGAGCATAGAGGCCCAGTGACCTGAAGGTGGGTCTAAAGTCCTTCAGCCCATGAAGCCTCGTGTCTTGTCTGCTCTGAAAATACTAAGGAGCTTTCAAAGGGGGAGGGGGTCCTGGATGGATTGTTGGACCTCGTGAGGTAGTCCTGAGGACTGGAGCCAAGAACAACGCCTCATGGTGACAGCAGAGGCCATTGTCGTCTCTGTCACATCAGCTGCATACAAAGCTACGTGGAAAGAGATCCTGGCCACATTCTGACCCTCCTCCAAGAGTGAGTTCTGCCTCCAATCCTGAGGCAGAGAGAGTCTGAACTTGGACAAGGAGTCCCACAGATTGTAATTGTATCTCCCTAGCAAAACATGCTGATTGGAGATATGCAGTTGATAGCTACTCATTGAATACACTTCTCCCCCAACAGATCCAGGTTTTTTTGCATCTTTTTGTTTGTAGCGCTCATCTGGCCCTGCCTGTCCCTTTTGTTAGCTGCTGACACAACGAGGGACTCTGGGGCGTGTGTGAACACGTGAGTACAAGTACTCAAATCCACTTGCTGGCACATAATGTTTCTTTTCTGCCCTCTTTGAGGTGGGAGGCAGAGGAGGAGTTGCCACAGGGCCTCGACCGGACCCATTACAGCCTCATTAATGGGTAAGGCCACTTTGGAGGGAGCTGCTGTAGCCAGAAGGCTGTGGGATGTTTCCTTAAGCACCTCAAATTCCAGCCGCAGGTTAGCTGCTATCCATGTCAGAAGGTCCTGATGGGCCCTGGAATCATCTTGCAGAAGTGAACTACTGGGCCCTGAGATGGCCTCATCTGGAGCACGAGGTGGCGACGGGAGCCACATCCTGAAAGTCAGTACCAGGGTTGGTACTGGAGTCGGGGCCTGACGCTGAGCGGGAAGGGGAGATAGAGGTTTCCAAGAGGTGGCCTGAATAGGATCAATGGGAGGAAGGGCCCGATACTGGGGGGGAAAGCCCCAAAGGTTGCAGTATGCCCATTACATAGGCCTCTGACCCGTTGGTCAGTGGGGGGACCTGCACCGAGGTCCGGTGGCACATAGGCTGGGTACCTTAGGCTGCACGTAGGGTTCCCTTTCAATTTCAGATGAAGAGTCCTCCCTCAGGGACCACAGTGGAGCGGTACCCCTCTCTGCCTTCATACGGTGTTGAGGGTCCAGGGAACAGCTGGCTTGTCCGTAGAAGGTGCTGTTGGTGCCGATGCCAGGAAAGAGTTAGACACTCCCTGCTCCTAGTCATTGGAGCCGGCAGCTGTCTCATCGGCATCGGGGGGACTGGGAGT